CAGCCCCGCAGCCCGATCCCGATCCCGATACAGAACCTCAGTCGCATCGTCGAACCACGTCCAATATGAGCATAGATGAAGTTCTTGCTAGGGGTCGTCCATCAGTACAGCCACCGCGAGGTCGTGATGTGTCTATGGCTTCGATAATAAGGGAAAGGACTCCCAGTGTGCAGTATCGGGAGAATCCACAGCGTCAAGTAGAACGTGAGGAAGCGAGGGCCCTGCGGATAGCGATGGAGGACTTGGAGATGAAGGACGAAGAGAATCTCTACAATTCTGCTCGCGACGAAGCCGCTGAGCTAGTCTGGAAACACCAGCATGCCAACGCGCCAGATGCCAATCCCGACGCGCCGTATGCTTACCCTGGTCTCCGCCGGAAAGGCAGTCACAACCGGAGCCAAAGCTTGGGTCGCGAAGGACAAGATTTGCAGCGTGCAAACTCAAAAATGAGGAAGAGGCACTCGATGGGAAGCTCAACAAGCCGAAGTAGCAGTCTACAGAGCAGACGGGCAGCGAGTGGGTCGTCAGTCACAGCCGACGCAGACTTTGGGACTTCTCCAAGCAAGCTTGCTGAGGACAATGGAGACATCACAGCGCTCCCCAGAATGCCGTCTGATCCCGCCGACACCAAGCAACGCCGGCGGAGCAGCGGCTCGAGAAGGAAAATCAGTGCAAGCCTCTTCAAGAATCCAGACGACCAGATTTATGAAGAGCCCGAGGAGGAAACGCCTGCTCCAGCGGCGGTCACCCCCGCACCTCCCGCGAAGCTCCCACTCCAGATGCGGCGCAATCCCTTCAGTCGAGTTCAATTCGCAAGGAACAACAGCGTTGTTCGCGCGAACACGGATCCCGTGCTCGGATCAAAGAGATTCGACCGATACGAGATCCAGAACAACCCGCCTTCTCAGTCTCGCAACGCTGGCTACACGGCAAATGCACCCTCGATCAAACCACAAGAGCAGTCCGCACCCAATATCACAGCTGAAGCTGAGCCCGAGGTGAAGGTGCAGGATGGAAAAGAAATTCGAAGCGATGATATCCGAGCAGCCACAAGCATGAGGCTCAAGGATAGGAGCCAGAAACTCCCTACTCCAACTATGGTGTCAGATAGTCCCGGTCGGCCTATTGTATCTTTCAAGAGCGATTGGAGACCCAAGGAAATTGAGCTTAAAGAGGAGGTTTCGTCGGTGCCTGCTTCAGCTCCTCGACCGGTAGGATCACTGCGATCAACTCTTCGTCCTCTATCCAAGGCATCAACTGCTCCGGTGATTCCAACATTGGACACCGTAGCTGACCAGCCCAAAGGACGGCCAGAGTTAACTTCCCTGGTCCCAGAAATCAATGTCTCTGCACTCCCCCCTGCACCAGCCCCAAGAGGAAGCCGGGCCCCAGCGCCTGCCATCAAAATCTATGAAGATTCACCATCTAGGCCTCTTCCAGATGTTACCACCTCAAGGAAAGTCAACACTCCTCCTCAGACTACCGCGGCTTCCGTACCAACAATAAACGTTTCCCAGGCCCCTCTGGCGCGCTCTAGGCCGTCTCCAGCGCATCCCATTCCGACGATCTCTATCGAGGAGACACCATCGATCTCAGTCCATGCCCCCAGCAGAGGTCACGGCGTGAACTCACCTTCAATATCAGTCACACCGTCCGTGCCCATGATCTCTGTTGACGGACCATCTCCTTCGCGGGCTCCAGCGATCAATGTACCCTCGGTATCAGTGACACCTTCAGCGCCTTCCATTAACGTCGAGGGGCCGACAAGCTCCACCCGACCTCTTCCAAATCCCAAGGACCACGTGAAACAGTCTGTTCCACCAAAGATTAATCCTCGATCCCACTGGACTCCCACAGCCAACGTCCGCTCAGGCGCTCTATGCGCACACTGTGCTCTCCCAATCTCGGGTCGCATCGTCTCCGCAGCTGGCTCGCGCTTCCATCCGGAATGCTTCCTGTGTCATCACTGCGGCGAGCACCTCGAATGTGTGGCATTCTACCCCGAACCCGACACCAAGCGTGCCGAGCGGGTCGCGCGTATTCGGGCCCGCCAGCGCGGCGAAGACATGGCCTTCCTCCCCACGCACCCCACGGCAGAGGACATGGCGCGTCTCGAGGCAGAGGACGGCTTCGACGAATCGGCGCGCTTCTACTGTCATCTCGACTTCCACGAGCTGTACTCGCCGCGCTGCAAGAGCTGCAAGACGCCCATCGAAGGCGAGGTCATTGTGGCGTGCGGCGCAGAATGGCACGCGGGCCACTTCTTCTGCGCTCAGTGCGGAGACCCGTTTACGGCTTCCACGCCGTTTGTCGAGAAGGATGGGTATGCGTGGTGTGTGGACTGCCATACTAATCGATACAGTACCAAGTGCCGTAAGTGTAGGCGGCCCGTTACGGATACGGTTGTCAAGGCCCTGGGCGCGGAGTGGCATGTCAAGTGCTTCGTCTGCGTGCAGTGCGGAGGCGACTTTGGCGATGGGAGGTACTTTTTGAGGGGGGATAGTAGTGACCCGGTCTGTGTTGGGTGTGAGGAGCGCAGGCTGAAGGCCTAAAAGGTGTGCCTGTACGAAGGTCCCTGGCTGGCTTCGGGATGGTTAGGAGTGTAGGATGGGTGAGGTGAGAGGAGTGTGAAACGAGAGAAGGGGTGGGTGTAATGGCTTTTTGAGATTTGCATAGCAATACGGTTGGGCGTTTGGTTAGGGTAATGGATAGGAATGCAATAATACATCTCCATGGGGCCGCGTTTCACAATGATAGGTAGAGGGGGTTGAGATGCTGGACTTGGATGTGGTCTAATATTATGACTTTCTGTGAGGTCTTCAATGGCCGTGCTTCTCGTACGGAAATGCTGATGAGGTACCTTACTATTACATGGCCCGAAAACGCCCCCATGGAAATGCGTGACGTTTGGTGGGGTAGGTGCGAGATAATTTAGCGAGGTTCACGCTCTCACGTGTGTCTTGGCGCAGCGCAACTTCAACGCCAGGCGTGGCGGATTTTAGTGCCACATCAATCATGCCCCTCCCCATCCTTGCGGAGGTCATTTATGGAGGAGTTTCGGCGATACCTTTTGGATGGCAGGCAGTCAAGATCATACCGGGCCTTGCAGTGCTCTATTTGCTGAAATGGTTTTTCGCTGGAGCTACCAATGCCTCGGAGCGGACTATGCATTCCAAGGTGGTGCTCATTACGGTTGGTTTCGTGAACCTCTTGAGGGAATAAAGCTAATTGTAATTGCAGGGCGGGACATCTGGAATAGGAGCAGAAGTAGCTAAAGGTCTGGCAGCTCGCGGATCCCAGATAGTCTTCCTCACACAGCAACCACTATCCGACCCCTTCTTCGTCGACTACATAGAAGACCTCCGCAGCCAAACGAATAACGATCTCATCACGGCCGAGCATGTTGATTTGATGGATCTCCACAGCATACGCAAGTTTGCTACAAAGTGGGTGGATAACGCGCCTCCGCGACGGTTGGATATGATCATATTGTGCGCCAACATCCGGACACCGCCTGGTGGGAAGGCTACGGTGACTGAGGACGGCTTGGAATCAACATGGGGACTCAATTACTTGGCCAATTTCCATCTCCTGAGCATATTGAGTCCAGCATTGCGAGCGCAACCTCCGGACCGAGATGTAAGGGTCATCTTTGGGACTTGCAGCTCATACATGGGAGGGAAATTGCCGGAGTTTGATGCGGATACCGCTGGCGGAAGGTCCAAGTCGAAGTCGAAGAAGGATGGAAAAGTATCGACGGAACCCATCGCATTCACACCATCAACAGTCTATGCTACGTCGAAACTCGCCCTCATGACGTTTGCTGTTGCATTCCAGAAGCATCTCTCCACATATGTCCGACCAGATAAAGCGCCAATGAATGCGAGAGTGCTCATCGTAGACCCTGGATGGACTCGCACGCCAGGCATGCGGAGATATCTCACTTTCGGGAGCCTTTGGGGTTTAGTGATATACCTCTTCACTTGGCCTTTGTGGTGGCTTGTCCTGAAAAGTGCAGACTCGGGCGCCCAGACATTCTTATACGCGGCTATGGAGGAGCGGTTCGGACGTGGTGAGGGCGGTGTGTTCCTGAAGGAATGCCGAGAGATCAATTTCATGAGGCCAGAGATCGAGGATGAGGATCTGCAGAAGAAGCTTTGGGGAGTCAGTGAGAGCACGGTGCAGGCTCTGGAGAAAGAGGGTGCGCTCAAGAGGGCCAAGGACAAGAAGACAGAGTCGGATGGGAAGCCACAGGCGAAGACGACCGGCACAGATGGAAACGGTGGACCGAAGCAAAGGAAGGGTAGATGATAGCTGCTATATTGCTGTAGGATCTGAAACAAGAGGAAACGTCTGCAGAGGAACAGGGGCCATGTCATGCACGACGTGACTGGCATGGTTGCAAAATATATAGAAGCTTCACGCACGTCGATCTCGGATGGCTCACTAGAAAATAGTCCTCCTTATCAACCACTTGGCCTCTGAGTTGGGATGTTATATATCCGATATTAGGGTGCGAAGTGACATTTTTAGGGCGGGCGGTTCTCCTCGTGCTGGCGTTGAAAAGCCGCTTGGTTTGAGCAGTACCACGAACTAATGAAATGGGACACGGTCAATACGTAGCATTGTAAGCCCAGACAACAAAGTATACGTCGCATAATCCACCCAGGGTGTGCTAGATGTTTTCATAGAGCATCTCTCACTGCTTAATTCTTGTCCCCTCGATGCATCTCTTAGGAACTTTAGTATTAAAATTCAAGTGCGCGTAGTGTGAGGTGGCATTATTCATCGGTACCTCGGCCGCGTCCTCGGGTCCTCGTCAGTGGAGCGGAATTTTTTTTCTCAACTTGTCTCCACAAAGCACAGACGCGTTTGCTTTTGACTCATCTTCTCCCAACGCTGCCAAACAAACAGCTTCGGTATTCCTTTGACAATTCAAACTGTAGTAAGTTATAGATATTTATACACTGACAAAATTTTCATGAATCAACTGAAAGCTTGGTCGTATAGCTCAGTTGGTTAGAGCGTGGTGCTAATAGCTCAGCTGTTTGGAACGCCAAGGTCGTGAGTTCGACCCTCGCTATGACCTCAATCAGAACTAAAATGATTCTTTTTTTGCTTCCCTGTATCTTTTTTGGGGATAAGGATCGCAAAAGAGTGATGGAGGGAAAGAGCACGTGCGCCTACCGCCGAGTCGGCGTTTGTTAAGCGAGACAGAAACATGAGATGATCAAAATATATTTATCATTTTTGGCCCATTCGACCTATCAAGACTTCAGGAACAGCATTTTGAGGGTGTGACAACAGATGCTGCTCTTGTGGAAGAGATAATCACATAGATTGGGTCTTCGAGTAGACGATGCATGTGATACTATGGTAACCCCCAACGACTTCGTCATTGGATCTCACTCTCGTTAAGTTGACCTCCAAAACAAATTTTCGTCGCGGGTTCTAGGAATGCTTGGTTTTTGAGTGAGAATGTTCGTCCAATGAGACGGTTTGGAATATGAAGTATCGCACCACATGTCATCGCTTGAGAGCAGATCCCTCAACAGCCTGATACCCATGTGCTTCAATTGGTCCCTGTAATCAAGAAAAACGACACGTGGAATCAAGCGTTTTCGAAGAGGCGCGTGCCTGTGATCCGAATCAGAGGCGCAAACTCTGGACCATGCCATTAGATACGTTGATCAGGTCTGGATTGCATTGATTTATGAAAAAGTCAAAATGGTGACCCCTGCACCGTCAACAAGTCTTCTCTACACGACGTGGAGCCTGCCACTGTTGGATATCCTCGCCGACCCTGGCGCTTGCGCTCAAGCATTCGTAAACTTCTATAGGATATCTCTTGAAATTAATTACTTTGTTCGGCGTTTCCCATGATTCATCAAAAGCTCATTGCCTCGAAGTCAGGAATGATGAATGGGTCTCCAGGAGGCGGCGCTTTCGCTAAAGTGTTCAGATCGACACCGATGATACTAGCCGGCCATTCCACCAAGTGTCGATTCTCAGGTCCCAGAGCTGCCACAACAGCAGTCAGTATTCCAGCTCCTAGGCCCTCCAGCCACCAGATATGCCGGATACGGGCGGGTAAGATTGCCCAGTATCCCATCAACACTAGCGCTTCCACGTTCTTTTCCTCGATGAGTGTGATAAACTCTCTTCTTACACGCACAGCCCACTGCAGAACTGCGCCTCTGTCCTTGAGCATCCCAATGTTCACATCATCGTACGCATACGGAATCGCCTCTCCGGGGTTAATAACGCCACTCTCTACAACTACTTGTGAAGTGAGAGCAAAAGTTTCTCGGAGAATCGCAAGAGCTTCCGTCAGCTCGTCAAAATATGGCTCATAGTCCCGACCCGGTCGTATCCACAAGCTCTCAAGTTCACATAACCTGCGGTCTTCGTCCAGAGCCCGGTCACTGGCGGGTACGCGATTCTTCGGCCACCATTTACGGAGCGCAAGAGTCCTGAGTTTCCCGGTTGCTATCCACCTCCATCCCGGCATGAGTACTGCGAAGGCGCCGCGAAGTCCGTGGATGGCCCTCATGACGGCGTGCAATATCTGGTCGACAGCGTCGGGTGGGAGTTCCAATGTGAGCCAGTTTGTAGCCAATGTCTCTTCTATGTCCATGATTGATGTGCGGAAGAAGTACACTACTAGGAGAGTTGCGCAGGCGAACAGCGCAGAAGCGTTCTTTTCTCGCACTTTACCAATTTCTGGTCGATACAAGGCTAGTGCACGATCCATCTGGTCGGCTGCTATCTTTCTCATCTCCAACTTCATGTCAGGAGACTCGTGCAGAAGGTTCAAATGTAATGATGCGACAGCTAAAACGCCATGGGTCAGATATTGATGGTCATTGGCTAATTCTGGGATATAGAAACGCCATGCTGTCTTCGCTGGGTCGTTCCCCGAGAGTGTTACACGCGTCGTCTGCTCGTAGTGATCCAAGAGAGGTTGGAGTCTGGGCGGAAGGCGCTCGCGGCGGTCTTTCCACACATTATATACGATGGAGGGTAGCAGTCGGGGGGGTGCCGGAACCGGTAAAGCTGGGCTCCTGGGATTTGGGATTGCTGATGTTGGCACACCTAGCGCTCCTTCTCGGATTTCGGAACTTCTCGAGCGTTGTCGAAAGATGGCTGTTTGACGGATGGGTTTTAGTGAACCCGCAGCGACGCCAGAACCTTCTTGATCTGAAATTTTGGAACTTGAGGCGACGATAGATGTAGAAAGAGTTGATGAGGGAGCGAGAAGGCGAAATCCACACTCAAGTCCTCGCTTAGTGCAATTGTTACATACAGGATGGGTGCCGTCACACTACGGATGGGTCAGCACACATATCCCCCTACTCGTGTAATAAAACGAGACCCGCGGATTAGAATGCAATGACTGTGTAATGGTAGGCCTCGGGATTGGGCGAGAAGGGGGCTACAATCCCCTGAGTACTCTACGTGTGGCTGTTACAGATGCTCTCCTATGCGAGATGCGAGCTTGCATGGGACTCCAGCCTCGTCTCTTCGTCCAACGTATCGGCATTGGCTAGATTTCCAATGTGTTACAAAGCCGCCAGCCTTGTCAATACATCTATCTGTTTACAACAACTGCTTTCGTCTCAAGAAGGTTGTTGAATCCTAGATTCATGACGGATCTCGACTTCTTAAATGCACAGTGTATTGATATGAGAGATGTCATACCTTGATGCGTCGCTTTTTACATTGATTGCACCCTAACCTGGATTTGTTGTGAGGTCGTCTGGTCGCCATGAGGTCTGAGTGGAATGCTGGTCGAAATATTGGAAAGAGGAAGACGTTCAAAGTGTTGATCGCAAAAATGATGGAGTGATGATGATATGCAGGGCGAATTTCAGCGAAGGGCTTAGCCTAGAAATGAAACCAAACATGAAGGGGCTCTTTGAATAAAGTATGATGACAACTCAAATTCTCGTGATGCCGGAAGGACAAATCATGGTCGTGTGGCAGTGCGAAAAGGACGTGCGGTTTAGTCGCGTTTCTTACGCTACCCCTAGTGGACTCCAGGCATCCCTATTGCGGCCTAGTGGGGCAAGCAGCTGAACGAGGCTCCGATTCCTTCGGCGCTTCTATTGGCCTCCTCGGCGCATCTTCCAAATCCCTGCAGCCGTCGACCTGGTTTGTCTGGCCAATCACAGGATGCTTAGTACGACGCTTCGCGGTCACGACTTCTACTTCATCCGCCGTGTGCCAAACCGGCAATGCCTTGCGAAGTACAGCCTTCTCAGCCCTACGATGAATAACATGACAGATTGTAAACAGCCAATCGCGAGGCGCACAGAACGAGGTTATACAGCCCCACTACGTAAGCTGCGACACACGACGTCGTTGAGAGGGCTTAAACTTCGGGTTGAGTGACCCTGTGCAACAATTACACATGTTGGAGTCCAGTATAAGAGGACACTTCGTGAGTGTTGGAGCCATCCTCACTCGCATCTCGATCGCTGCATCCCTTCCATCTCACAGTCTGCATTCGTTCGACGTTCATCGCACCTCCTACCCTCTCCCATTCGCACAACCCGACTTGCATATTTAGAGCTCCATCTACCAGCCCAGTCTCGAATCACACCCCCAATATGGCAGTTTCACACGATATCGACGATCCAAATGCTTACGTCTTCTACCGCTACCATCCCTCGCGGTCAGCCGCCGCCATATTCACCGTCCTCTTTGCCATCTCGACAATGTTCCACGTCTACCAGTCTTACCGTAAACGCGCTCTCTTCATGGTTCCCTTCATCATCGGCGGAATTTTTGAGACAGTCGGTTACATCGGGCGAATCCTCTCCTCAAACAACCAATGGGAACTCGGGCCATACATTATGCAGTCTCTCCTCCTTCTGCTCGCCCCTGCCCTGTTCGCCGCGTCCATATACATGGTGCTTGGTCGTATCATCCTTCTGACTGATGGCGAAAAATTCTCACTCATCAGAAGGACATGGTTGACCAAGATTTTCGTGGGCGGTGACGTGCTGTCGTTCCTTCTGCAAAGTACAGGTGGCGCGCTCCTGAGCACTGCAGATGACAAACCCGACAATCTCAAGCTGGGCGAGAACGTGATTATGGGCGGCCTTTTCGCGCAAATCGTCTTCTTCGGATTCTTTGTGGTTGTCGCCATCATTTTCCAAACTCGTGGGCGCGCACATCTTGAGACCTTGGAAGTACCATGGTACAAGCACCTTGTTGTGCTTTACGTCACATCGACTTTGATCCTCATTCGAAGTATCTTCAGGGTTGTCGAGTATATCCAGGGAAACGACGGATACCTGATGAGGATGGAGGTGTTTCTGTATGTCTTTGACGCCCTCTTGATGTTCAAGGTCATGTTGGCGATGAACGTGATCCACCCTGGAGATATCGCCCCGATGTTGAAACAAAAAGAGGCAAACAGCAAGGGACAGGCGGTAGAGATGGACAGGCAATCGCCCGTCTAGAGAATGGTGGCTCTGTTGGTATTAATACCTATTATACCCCCTTCACAATGTAGCATGGCGTTCTAGCGATAGATAGGGTCGGGTCTGCTTTCATTTGTTTCGAACTTTTTAGACTGATGTAAATAATTTTTATTTCATGTAGTTATATGCTATGCTCTGAATTCCAATTGAACTGTAATCTCACTGCAGTCTAGTCTTTTCATATTTCAGGATACCTTCAACTTCATCCTCGAGGCTAGGCCTATAGGGTTTCCATCCCAAAGTCTCCCTCGCTCTCTGGGCCTTGCCACGACTGTTCAAGCCCCAACTCACAGCTTCGAACCCGGCCTGATTCAATGCCTGATCTTTACCCAGAGCTTGCTCCTTTAAGCCTTGTACCAAACCCAACCCCTCGGCTTTCTTACCCATGAGTCGCGCAATGTCCGCCCAAACATGCTGGCCGTTCTCGGTAAGAAAGTAACCCTTCTCACCCCAGAGCTCGTTCGAGATATTCTCCGATACAGCGGCTTCGGTGAGTAGAACAAACACGTCGGCTAGATCAGCGATGTGTATGTTGTTCCAGCGAGCTTTCCCTTCACCAATAATGGGCACGGATTCATGAGTCAGAATGAACTTAGCG